AGTCTATAAAGATTTCTTCTTCTATAGTTGAGAGACCTTCGGGAATAGTTTGAAATGGATCCCTACCCACTCGTAAGTTGCTACCAACTTGTTGTTAGCAAGAAAATACTCTTTAAAATTCTGTGCCAACATGGCTTATTGACTTATTGACTTTTTACATACTGATCTTCTTCCTTGTATGTTTTGACACACTCATTCACATTTGCAAACATTTCTTTTTATTTTGTTTCACATTTCTGTTCCACAGCTTCAACTTTCGACAAAAAGCACTAACTCTATCACTGGTATCCAACATATGTGTGTTTGTTCCTTGGAGTTTTAGATCCAGGGTATTTAATTTCTCGAATATGTCGACCAAGTAACTCAATTTCATTACAAATAAAGTTTCATCGAAAGTGCAGTGCAGTGATTTCAACAGTTCAACAGCTGGGTCAAAAGTTGGTGATCAACGTGGTTGTTTTCAAACGACGATCTTCAGGCAGCCTGAGCAGTGCCCTGGATCTGAATACACCATCATCTCCACCGGATACCTAGGTACGTACCAACGTAGAAAAATCAGTGAGTAAAGCAAGCTAGCTATATTTTTAAAACTTTTTAACATTATAGCGTTTTAAACGAACCAGTTGTTTTTGTTTTTGTTTTTGTTTTTCGTGTTCCGAACTTATATTTTGGTTTTACGGTTTTATTTGTAATGTTATGTTTAATTTAGTGGGTATAATTTTTACAATTAATAAAATTGATAAAACACCCTGTATCTCGGATTTAAACGGCCAAAGACCCATTAAATAAGGGTTATCTAGTATCATTACAGTGGCCTCCATCCACAGTTAACGTATGTCCGTTTCCCAATGAATCACCCTGTATAAAAAAGAAAGGTAGGGGGCGCTACAAAAATTGTTATTGAAAAGGTTGAAAAACGCTGGCGTATCCAATTGTATTGTTCGCAAACATACCTACTAGGATTAGCACCCAACTCGGATTCTCTCCATTATTTTGAACGTGTCTATTTTCCGTATACTCAGCTGCACATAAAATTAAAAAAAAAACACGATGTGTCACTATTTGCAGCCAGATGAGGGTCTTTTTTTTTAAATCAGAAACCTCTGAAAATCAAAAATTCCGTCTGAAAGTTTTGTTTAATTGAATATCCCCTTGATTTTTATCAAAATTAATTTTTTTTTGAACCCAGTATTACTAATTACAATTTTGACAAATATAAAAATTTTGTTTCCCAGAAATTTCCATATCAATATGTACATAGTTATCTAACGGGCTCTTAAAATTACACATCTATTGCCTGCTTATAGGTACGCCAATGCAATTTGCAATACTCGGTAATACAAAATTACTTGCCTTATATTAGTTACAATTGAAGTGCAGACCGGAGTGAACGTGTGTTTTGTTTGTACATTCCGTGCATTTAACGTTTATATTGCTTTCTAAAATGGCGCTAAACTTATGTTTAACTGCTAAAATAGCAATAAACTTATATTTAATTACGTGGAAAGTGCGTTTTTGTTAACCTTCGTATATAAAAGGGCCGGTTTAATTGCCACCAATAATAAAAAAGGGAACCTATTATTGCAGTTCGTCGGGTCTCATACGTTAATAAAACATAATAAAGATTTAGCGTGGATCGTAAAAGTTGGTTTTTAGTTTATTGTTTGGGGAACTACAAGTGGATTAAGTGTTTGTTTTAATTTGATTAAACAATGAAGAAGTCGTTTATATTATATTTCGATATTTTAACGAACTTTGAAAAAAAATATAGGTAGAACATTTCAGCGCAAACTGCCATCCTTTTAGTTTGCCTAACCGGATGTCCCTGGGCGATAATAATATATACCGATATAACTATATTTTTGTATAATTTCATACAATTTACAGCAATACAATCTTGAATAATCAAAAATATATTTTGACTATTTTGATATTATTTCAACAATGTATTTTTTAGAATATCTCATTTTTGGACAATCCATACCTATCAAAACTATAAATTAAAAACTACAATTTTTACTACTCAAACAATTTTTTCTGTAAAATACTAACAGAATGATAAAATCTGGTTCGAAAAATTCTACTATTTTGTAAAAATCCATAGTTTTTAACTATTAAAATAAAAATAGAAAATAATTATTTAAAAGTTTTTTAGCTTTTTTCAGAAAACCTACTACCTACGTCTATCTAGAATACAGGGTTGGCCAAACCTCTGTCGTAGTTCTATAACTCCTATTATGCAAATCTTAACGATTTATTCGAAGTATACCTGTCAATGGTGGTCAAAACCAAATATCCCAAAATTATTTTCTTGTGTACAGGGTGGCCCAATAGTAAATTAGGCAAATCACTTATTTTTTTTTAATTGGAATGACCCAACTTTTTTTCCAATTTTAGGTACTCTATGGTCACTAGTGCATACCCACAAAATATTGTTTCTAACATCCTACCCCTTTCGCAGAAAAAGAAGAAATACCAAAAAATATTACATTTTCAGACGCCTATTAAAATATGCAGTGCTCTCTCGAATTTGACGTTAGAATTTAAAAAACTACAAATGTATAAAGCCAATAGACCAAAGATTTTTTTAGACCAAGTTTTAATTTTTTATTTTGTACAGGGTGGTCACAAATTAATTTCAATTTCCAAAAATTTCTAGGACATTTCTTTCAAATTTTTCATATAGAACACCCTGTATTACTATTCATCGATGAAACGAGAATTTTATACCCTTCGACTTCCCCATGTACTTTCCTATACCTATCTGTCGTCGTTTAAAAGTAAATTCCAAAAAGACATTGATTTATCAAAAATCCAATTTCTACCAGCGGTTTTATTGAAAGTGAACATTCAATCAAGTAGGCTGGGTCTCAATGAAGTGTCAGATTATTTATTATTGAAGTGTCAAGTTATTTTTACTGTTCGCGATAATTCTTCTATTAATAATGAATTTTACGAAAAACGAATTAATTGACATGGTCTATGTTTTGGGAGAATCCGACAGAAATTGTTTATTGGCAAAAAGAATTTATCATCAACGATATCCCGATAGACGCATCCCAAAAAAGTTTTGAAAAGTTACATGAAAGATTTACCGAAACAGGAAATGTTGCTTATAAAAAAACCAATAATTGACAAACGTGCTACTGATAATGATAACCAATTATCTGTAATTTTGACAGCGATAGAAGATCCTCATGTAAGTCAAAAAAAGATTGCCGAAGTAGTAGGTATAAGTAGAACATCCTTATAAAATACAATTGCATCAAGAGCTGAAAGACACCGATTTTGATAATAGAATGGTGTTTTGTAACTGGGCACAAACTAAACTGCAACAAAATCCATTTTTTTTTATAGAGTGCTGTTTTCTGATGAATCTACATTCCACAAGAACGGATTCGTTAATAGACATAATTTCCACTATTATTCCACGGAAAATCCTAACATCATCAGAACACATAGCCAAGAAAGATGGAGTGTAAATGTTTGGGGAGGTATAATTGGGGATCATGTTATTGGGCCGTATTTTTTTGAAGGCAACTTAAATGGTCTGATGTATTTAGATTTTTTAGCAAATCATCTTCCCTCTTTACTTGAAAACATTTCCCTTGCTGTAAGACTAACAATGTGGTACCAACATGATGGGGCAGCAGCGCATTTTTTACGCGAAGTGGCAGATGAATTAGATGAAAAGTTTCCAAATAGATGGATTGGTAGAAATGGTCCAAAAAAATGGCCAGCTCGATCACCTGACTTAACAAAACCCGATTATTTTTGGTGGAGTTATATTAAAAATCTAGTCTATCTTACGCCACTTACAACACCTGAAAATATGAAAGAAAGGATAGTGCAAGCTTTCCATTCCATTACACCTGATATGCTTAGAAACGTTTCTCGATCATTCGCCCAACGAATAAATGTATGCATTAGAGAAAATGGCAGACATTTTAAGCATCTTTTATAAAATGTAAATTTATGTTTTAGGATAAATTTCAACTAAATTTTATTATCGTAATTTTCTTCCTTTTGAATTTATTTTATAACGGCGACAGATAGGTATAGGAAAGTACATAGGGAAGTGGAAGGGTATGAAATTCTTCTTCAGTTAATGAATAGAAATACAGGGTAATACATTTGAAACATTTTAAAAATTTCCCTCGAAATTTTTGGAAAGTGAAATTAATTTGTGACCACCCTGTACAAAACAAAAAATTCAAACTTGGTCCAAAAAAATCTTTGGTCTATTGGCTTTATACAATTGCAGTTTTTTAAATTCTAACATCAAATTAGAGAGCACTGCATATTTTAATAGGCGTCTGAAAATGTAATATTTTTTGATAATTTTTTTTTTCTGCGAAAGGGGTGGGATGTTAGGAACAATATTTTGTGGGTATGTACTAGTGACCATAGAGTACCTAAAATTGTAAAAAAAAGTTGGGTCATTCCATTTAAAAAAAATTAAGTGATTTGCCTAATTTACTATTGGGCCACCCTGTACACAAGAAAATAATTTTGGGATATTTGGTATTGGCCACCATTGACAGGTATACATCAAATAAATCGTTAAGATTTGCATAGTAGGAGTTATAGAACTACGACAGAGGTTTGGCTAACCCTGTATAAATAAATATTTAAAATAAAGTCTGGAAACCATACATATTATAAAATAATTAATGAATCAATATTTTGTATATTGTGGCATCTAGGCTTTATTTTTTATATTTACGTCTTGGTCATTTCACAAACCATCAATTAATGTATTTAACTGAAATCTTTCATAATTCCAAATTAATTAAAATTCTTCAATTTCAAATAATTTATACATTTACTATATACTGTATAGAAAGTGATTATTAAATAAAAATGTATCCAAAATGTTTCATTATTACAAATCCTTTAGATAACCAATTTTTAAAATCACCCTGTACTTTAGAGACCGGCCTAAAGCGGACAACAAATGATAATCGAATAGGGGCGAAGTTATCATTAAGTATACAGACCTGATCTTGACCTCCTTGCTTTGCCATTCCGAGTGCCGATCGAAGCTGATAAGGATGGCGGCGATTTCCTGAAACGAACAAGAAGATTTAAGAGTTTCAGTTTATGGGAAAAATGTGAAAATTTGTTCAAACGAAAAATCGTTAGATAAGTAGACAGATACATGAAAATTTAAATATATTGAATTCGTTTAGCTCTATTTTAAATTAACAGTATCTATATTGTTTAACGAGCAAGGAAGGTTACACATTTACTATAAGTATGATATTTACAGCACAATGCTGTAATTCAAATGAATAGTTAATTAATATTCCTTGCGAGTTACCCACTATACTCTTTCTATGGCTAATAATACGCTGTTACCAATTTTTAATGAATTATCAAGGGTAATATACCAAGACCTTGATAATAGTCAGCTATTTTTGTTGAATCTAAATCTCGAGAATATTTTAATATCAATTTGATAAGACATAATTTTTGGCATTAATCAATTGATTATTAATGCCAAAATTATGTAGAAGCAAATTATAAAATGATCGAGAAATTTAGTAACAACAAAAATAGCATCAAGGTCGTGTTATATTTGGGACGACTATTTCACTAGACCAAATATTGACTATTTCTTTAGATAAATAGTCGCTGATATTTGGTGTAGGGAGATGGTCAAATTAAAATGACAACTATTTTTGAGATTATTGAATGTTTGACATTTAATAGTACATACAGTTCATCAAATTTCTAGAGGTGTTCGACGCCCAGACAGAGAACGCGCTACGTGTGACTAAGATAGCTATTGTACAGTCTGCTAAACAAGTTATTTTAAATAGTTTTTAATATTTTTAGGTAATTAAATTTTAAAAGTGTGGAATAGTTTAGGGATTAAATTGGTCTGATTGGACTTTCTTAGCAGCTAAAGATAGTATGTAGAATTGAAAATAATTATTATGCCATAAAAGGTGTTTTGGAATTCCTTCAACCTTTTGAAATTGAGTCAGAAAATATAAATTTTATAGGATAGCGGAAAATACCTATAATTTTTTTGTAGGCCTTTGTAAATCGTGGAAATAGTTTATATTTTATTTCTACCTTATTAAGGAAAATGGTACCTATTATTAATAACGGTTGTTTCTGAAACATTACTAAAATTTTCGAAATTTTGTTTTTCTACAAAATAATAAACTATACTATTTAGAAAAAAATTTATTTCTCTTATAATTTTATAAAAAATAACAGGGGAATATTTACATTTCTTGATCTATTAAACAAAACGATAAATTATCTCGACGAATGACACCATGTTCTAGTACGGAAGCTAGCTTTACATTTTTGTTGGTGGTTTCATGGGTTTCATATCAATTTTTTGTAATTGTAGTTTACACGTACATATACCTCTTAACACTTGTTTGCTTTATTAAAAAAGTGTGTTGTTGTGATTTACGTCGAAATAAGTCAAAAACAACTTGAAACCCCATATAAAATCAAAAAGGAGAAACGGAAAAAAATTGAGCCTGTAAATGAACACAACTCAGAAACAAAAATAGCTATCTAATAATAAAAAAATAAAATTTGATTCTTGTGCAGCTTCATCTATATCATTAACTGTTTTTGGTTTTTTAATGGTTTTTCTTGGTGATGAAAATTCCGATATCTCACGGTTATCGATTCTTTTTTTCTCTCCAGAAATGCGGACGACAGTGTTTTTAGATACTCCTGTGGCTGCAGCAACACGATCATTTACATTTTTAAATGGTATTGAAGGTGAATTAAAGTTTCCTTCTCTTCTCATAAACTCTATAACATTGGCTATTATTTCGCGAGATTGACTGTTAATCACGCGGCCTCTTAATTTGCTATTAAACTCCATACTTAGGTTCTATTAAACTGTAATGAGCAAAAAACACAAACGAAAATAAAAGAAATGTTTTAGCGAAATTTACATCTGACATTTACGTCTGAATGAAATAGTGAAATACTTGATGCGCAGAGTGTACTTTCATTGCGTAAATCCGTCGGGATGCCTGTCAGTAGTCTTTCTCTGTCTAGCCGTCGAAAGCCTCTAGAAATTTGATGAACTGTATTATGATCTTATTAAAGTAAGTGAATAATGACTACTTTCTGTTATCAGATAAGAATCCGATACGGAAATAAATACTTTGTAAGACAAAGATATCATTTTTTTTATTAAAAGTAGTTATTGTTATAGCAAAAAGATACTTTATTGTGGGTATCATATACAGAGTGACCCAAAACAGTAGACCAAATCATACTTAGGTCAATGTAAAAAACCGCTAATATTATTTTTGTGATTGAGGCCATCATGTTCAATGTACAAGGAGGAAAAGCTATTATGAAAAGAATACGTTTTCCATTATAGTTTCGTTATTATATTAAGTAGAAAGCTTAAAATTGGTACACCGGGGTTCCTTGGGATGATAAATCATAATTTAAGACTATCACCCACTTCATAGAGGGCGCTAGTTGAAGAACATGACGACCTCAATAAAAAAAATAAAGAGGTTTCTTACACAGAGGTAAGGAATCTATGATTAACAGATTTGCCTAATTTTTTGGGACACCCTGTATATTAATAATGCAAAAATATTGTATTAAGTAACATAAATAAATTATAACAGAAAATAAGAGCCGCCGTTTCTTTTCGGAAAATAACTAAGTACTTCTTTGGCTAATACCGCAACTGACAATGATTATAACCAAATAAAAATAGAAGAGATGGAATAGTATGTCATTACGAGTATAGAAAATGAAATTTTTCACACGAGTGGAAAATATTGTCGAACGAGGCGTAAGCCGAGTGCGTCAATCACGCGAGTGTAAAAAGTCACTTTCACACAAGTAAGGTTCAATATTTTTCCTACGACCACAAACTATCAAAAAAATGTAAAAGTAGGAAATCTGTTTCTATCTGGTTCTAGCAAGATATGACTAGTTTTAGATTTTTTTTTATATGCCTCATGGAATAATTTTTAAAGCGTCTCACAGAGAGTGTTCTGTCAAAATTAAAAATATTGTTATTCCATTTGCAAAACAATTTCATAGAATGATAAGGGTAAAATAACATTGAGTACAAAAAATATTAGAATACATTATTAATTTTTTTAATAAATTATTTTTTTTTAAACAAATAAGTTGAACAACCGTAAACAAAAACTATTTTTATTATTTATTATTACCAACTTCTCGAAACACAATTTTTTTTGAACAGTAATTAAAATAATAAAAAACAAAAAGCAAAACGAATAATTGTAAGGGTAATATTATGTCTGAGCAAGAACAGGCTACGTATTGTAACAGGGATCCTTACCGGGCATTGCCGACTAAAAGGACACCTAAGTAAACTGAGAGTAGTAGAGGATAGTGAGTGCAGATTCTGTGAGGAGGAAGACGAAACCTCCATTCACATCCTAACTGAATGTATAGCACTCCAGAATCCAAGGGCACTATTTCTAGGAGGATATCAAATAGAAGAGGGAGATTTACCTAACTTGAAGCCACTTCAAATCCTACACTTCCTTGAGAAAATAGGATTGGAAGGGTCGCTATAGGCATTGAGACATTTCCTTAGTGCAGTGGCGACAGAAGGGGGTACAATAGATCTTTTAGGTCGCAGTGTATTAACACCCCATTCTTAACACAACATAACATAAGGGTAATATTAGGATAAATACCATGTACTTTAAATAAATAAACAACATTAATCGTATTTTTCCAATTTTCATATTTTTTTTTATATATTAAAAAAAATATAATTTGAACCAGCTCGCGAAATGGTCACGAAATGCAAAGTAATAAAAGTTAGATACTATATGATTTGTGCCATCACTTTTATGTCATTTGACTTATCTAATTAAATATGTATATGAACCAGAAAAAAGCAAAAATAATGTAGGTAGTTATTTTACTATTAAAATGGACATTACATCAATCAAAATAGAAATTAGACGTTTGACATATTTGACAGCTTATGTGGAAAGTAGATTCATGTTCACAAACTTTTCTAAGTGGTCATAGATAATAGTAGTTTGTGCAACACGACTGGATATGAAAAATCTACTCGAGTTGTACAGTATATTTTTTCTACGACCCACTAACGAAAATTTACAAATTTTAAAATTTATTTTAGGTTATTAATTTAAAAATATTTTATGACTTTTACGAATTTATAAAATAAAATAAACATGAAAAAACGATTTATTTTATTTTTCTTCATCTGAGATTCGAACTCGAGTCTTCCGTATGGAAGGCAAGAACGCTGACCACAGGACCATCTACGCGTTTTAGACAAACGGTTGATTTTATGACATAATTAAGTTACTAGATGGCGTAACTGAATACCAAATAGTAAAATGCGTAATTTATACAAAACTTACCAAGTCAAGGTCTCCTGAAAATATGATGGTTAGAATTTCCAGAAATTGGCATATATTTTGTCAAAAAATCCAAGGATTTAGACAAGATAATAAAAAATAAGTTAAAAAATAAAAAAAAATCGTAAATAATAACATTGAGAAAGTTAGAAGAAAAAAGTTAGGAGAAAGATTATAAAGGAATTTTCAGAATGTTTCGCATATTTTTGCCTAGACTAATTGCCTTCTTTCTTGTCACATCAGGGTTTTTTCTCAAAAAAGCGACCACCTAGGTATAAAGGTTCTGGTAATTTGCTAAACAAATGGTAAGAAAAACCCATAGCCATTTGTTTCCAAAAATTATCTGAACTTGCTTTAATACTCTTAATTAAATAGACTTCATATAGTTTTATTATAAAAATAGAAATTCTATTATTTATTAATTCTACACAAGAGTAACTCATTTTAATGTATGTTTAATCTCAATAACTAAAAAATATACTGACAATTAGTTTGACAGTTTTGTCACTTATTTAAAATTTTTAAAATAATAGCAGTTGGTTGATCAAAATATGAACTGTGTGTGATTGGTGGATTTAATTTTTTTGCAGGATTCTCACTACCTAGAATGGATATGAAATATATTCGTTCAGTTAAAGGCAATAGCAACTTTTTTTGTAATCTGTGCATAGATAAGCTAATATTA